CTCACCCACGGACACCCCGAGATCACCCACGGACACCCCGATCTCACCCACGGACACCCCGAGATCACCCACGGACACCCCGAGATCACCCACGGACACCCCGAACTGACCCACGGACACTGCGAGCTGACCCACGGACACTCCGAACTGACCCACGGACACCCCGAGATCACCCACGGACACCCCGATCTGCCCCACGGACACTCCGAACTGACCCACGGACACTCCGTCCCCCCGCCCGGGTCCCGGTGCTATTCCCCGGACCCTCGCTCTCCCCGGGGTCCCGGTGCTATTCCCCGGACCCTCGCTCTCCCCGGGGTCCCGGTGCTATTCCCCGGACCCTCGCTCTCCCCCCGTGTCCCGGTGCTCTCCCCCGGACCCTCGCTCTCCCCCCGGCTCCCAGCGCGAAGGCGGCGCCGGGGCCGGTCCCCGCGGGCGGTGCTGACCCGAAGTAGGCGTCGGCGGGCGGCGGCGGCAGAAGGAGGAGGAGGAGGAGGATGCGGCTGAGTTTGGCGGCGGAGCGCATGGTGCGGGCGGTGCCGGTCCCAGCTCGCTGCGGGCCGCCCNGACACCCTTAGACCCGGCCTGGGGCAGCAGCTCTGCCTCCCCGTGCCCAGGGACACCCTCCTGGGTCCCCGGGCTGGCTTGAAGCCCCGGAGCCCCGCAGCACCTCCCTGTCCCTGTCACCTGCCGAGCCCTGGCCAGCCCCAAGCTCCCACCGGGTGCCCCAGGGAAGGAGCCTGCAGGGAGGGTCGGTGCCGGCATTCCCGGGGCTGATCTGCACCCTGAACAGATCCGGGGCACAGCTCGGGGGCATCGCCCCGTTCTCCTCCCTCTCGCTCCAAACCAACAGGATCTCCCCGCCGTTTCCACGTCCCGCTCTCGCACGGATGATCCTCCCCTGGTCTCCTCTGTCCTGGCTCGCCGGGAGCACGGGGGGCTCCAGMGACCCCCGCACCCTGTGCCCCTGTCCCTCAGCCCCTCAGCCCCGGTCCCACATCGCCCCGCGGGACGGTCCCCGCGGTGCCAGCGCTGCCCGGAGCGGTGCGGGGATGCTCCGGGGATGCTCCGGGGATGCTCCGGGGATGCTCCGGGGATGCTCCGGGAGCTGCAGGTGCGCAGCCCGGCCGGGACCCCCTCGCAGCCCCGGGGCGTGCCCGCGGACCGGGACAGCACCGCGGAGTCCCCGTGCCCCGTCCGCAGAGCATCGGAGGTGAACTGCGCTCCCGCGGGCCCGGCGCTGCTCCACGGACACTCCGAGCTCACCCACGGACACCCCGAGATCACCCACGGACACCCCGA